TCTGTGTTGAGAACCCACTGGAGGGTTTTAAACAGTGAAAAGACATGATGTAGTTGACATTTTTATAAGATCACCTTGGCTTCCGGGGCCGCCTAGGAAGGAGAAAGCCAGAGAGAAGACCACTCCTTCCCAAGTGATCAGAAAGCTGGATAATCCACAAAACTGTACCTTCCCTGAGCCTATCTGTGAGCTGAAGTTGCAGGGCAACCAACTGGCCTGAAGTCTAAGGAAGGCAGGTGCCCCCAAGGAGAGAGGGGACATGAGCAGGGCCACCTGTGGCCAAGCGCAGGGAAGAAGGCAGAGCCACCATGTACATGGGCAAGAGGTCCTCCAACGCTTTAAAGGATTGCTGAAGGCTGAGTGTGGGTTAGCGCAAGAGCACAGAACTTCTGGGAACGTCGAACAAGGGGAGTTGACACCCACTCGGGTGGGTGTCAGGTGTGCAGGTTCTTCTCCACAGACTTCCACTAGATCTTATAAAACATGTCAGGCACAGAGCAGCAGAGACCACAGGAAGCCTCAGAGGTGCAGGCGTGGGGCCCCGGCTGCTGGAAGTATTCACAGCCCCAGCCAGACTCTTCTTCCCTAACAGACCAAAGCTGGGCAAAGGGCAGTAAACAGGATTCAGGTGATAAACCCCAGGAAAATGCCCTCCAGTCCATCTGGGGGCAGGACACCGTCCTGGGCCTGATCCGTAAGAGAGGTTCTGTTCCTAGCGGGAGGGAAGGATCACTGGAAAAGACTTACTCCCTCCGCCCAGGAACATGGCCTGCCTGACACTGACACAGGATGGCAGACAGCTCCCACCACCCCTCAGGTTGGCAAGCACCAAGTAACATCGCCTACCACGGACGGAAGGCAAAGAATGGAGAAAGACCCTCTTTAGGCAGAGGCACGCAGGGACGGTATAAAGCGGAGGGCATGGCGGGAATATTACAAACCCTGCCACCCCCTGCCACCAAGAACATGGTAACACCAGGGGCATTTGAAGCCAGCAAGGCACGAGAGGTGGACTTACAACTAGACGGAAACTCAGCTCCGCTCACAGCTTGGTCGGCTCGACCCCTCACACTGCCTGCCTGGCAGGGGAGCAGGCGTGCCTGCCCCCCTACACCCTCCTTCCTTCCGCCTGCCTAATGTCCCACGTGGCTCTGGCGTTCGTTAAAAAGATTACCAGACACACAAGCGAGCAAGTGAAAACAACCCATTGCCAAGAGACAAATCACTCCACAGAGCCAGAGTCAGAGGTGATCTGGGTGTTGAAACTATTAGGCAGGAATTTTTAAATAATTAAGATTCAGATGTTGAATTCTCTCATGGAAACTGTGGGATACATGCCTGAATAGAAGGGGGGGGTCCTCAGCAGAGAGTTGGAAACTATGAGAGTCAAATGGAAACTCTGGAAGAAAAACCCATGTAATTGAGATGAAGGCCCATCAGTAAGCTCAGCACAGCTGAGGAATGAAGCAGTGAACTTGAAGTTCAGTAGAAATTACCCAGACTGAGCCACAAAGAGAAAAAAAGGATGGGGGGGGAAAAACCCCAACAAAATAATAGGGCACCCGAGCTGTGGGATGATAGCAAACAGTTGGAAGAGATAATGAATGGCATGTATATATGCCATATATACATATATACATATATATAAAATAATGAAAGACACCAAGCTACAGATCAAAAAAATCTCAGAGAACCCCAAGCAGGCTAAGTAAAAAACAAACCTAACCCAGGGCACCTGGTGGCTCAGTTGGTTAAATGTCCAGCTCTTGTTTTTGGCTCATGTCATGATCTCAGGGTCGTGACATCGAGCCCCGTGACAGGCTCCATGCTGGGCGTGGAGCCTGCTTAGGGTGCTCTCTCTTCCTTTCCCTCTGCCCCTCCTCCCCTGCTCATGTGTGCTCTCTATCTCGCTCTCTCTCTCAAAAAAACAAACAAAAAACCCTAACCCAAACAAAAACTCCTAGAGAGAACATATTCTAACTGCTAAAACGATAAGAAGGGCACCTGGGTGGCTCAGTTGGTTAAGCGACTGCCTTTGGCTCAGGTCATGATCCCGGGCTCCTGGGATCAAGTCCCACATCGGGCTCCCCCTGCTTGGGCTCTCTCTCTCTCTGTCAAATAAATAAATAAAATCTTTAGAATAAATACAAAGGTAAGAAAAGGAGAAGGAAATGAGGGCACAGATTATAAAGGAACAAAGAGGAATCAGAGCAGATGTCTTGTCAGAAACTAGGCAAACCACGGATAACAGAATAATGTCTTTAAAATGCTGAAAGAAAAGACCTGGCAACCCCAGTCTCTACCCAGGAACAAGAACATCTTTCAAAAACGCAAGAGAAATAAAGACTTTTCCAAACAAATAAAAATGGAGAGGATTCGTGTCCTGCAAGGACAAGGAATAATGGAAGTTCTTCCGACAGAAGGAACATGTTCCCAGACACTTGGCTCTACACCAGACAGTGAGGATTTCCAGAAATTAGGGTAAATATAAAAGGCATTGTTTTTCTTATTTTTAATTGCTCTGAAGGGTACTTAACTTCTAAAGCAAAAATAGTAGTGATGTATAAAGAGTTGATAGAACATGTAAGGAAAATGCATGAGAAGAGCAGCACCGAAGCTGGGGGGCATTGAGACTATACTGTTGTAAGAGTCTTATGCTCTATGCAAAGTGGTATATTATTATTGCAGGGTTGACTGTGATGAACTAAAGACACACCATTAAAAAGATCTTAAGAGGCATAGGGCGCCTGGGTGGCTCAGTCGGTTGAGCGTCTGCCTTCGGCTCAGGTCGTGATCCCGGGGTCCTGGGATCGAGCCCCGCGTCGGGCTCCCTGCTCGGCGGGGAGTCTGCTTCTCCCTCTGCCTCTGCCCCTCCCCACTCGTTCTCTCAATCTCTCTCAAATAAATACAATCTTTAAAAAAATTTAAGAGGCATAAATGAAAAGATCAGGGTTCAGAGAAACAAAGAGTAGAATGGTGGTTAGCGGGGGTGGAGGGGAGAGATACTGGTCAAAGGGCACAAACTTCCTGTTGTAAGATAAACAAGTTCCGAGGGTCTAATGTACCACATGGCGAACAGGGCAATAATAGTGTATTATCTACTTGCAAATTGCTAAGAGAGTAGATCTTAGATGTTCTCACCACCAAAAAGGCACGGTAATTCTGTGATGGGATGGAAGGGTTCACTAATGCTATGAGGTCATTGTTTTGCAATATGTCAATATATCAAATCATCACATTTTACATCGTACACTCACACAGTGTTATATGTCAACTATATCTCAATAGAGCTGCAAAGAAAAAAAAGATCAGTGTTGCCATGAATAGGGAAAGGGCTGGGTTGGCAAGGTACGGCCCGCGGTTCAAATCTGGCCCGCTACCTGTTTCTGGAAGTCGTTTTATGGAGCACAACCTTCCCTTCCCTGCTTGCTACTGTGGTGGGGGCCGGGTAACTGCCCTGCCAAAATGGTCCACAAAGCCCAAGATACTGACTCTCTGATCCTTTCCAGCAGAGCTGGCTGAGCCCTGGGCTAGGGGACAGGGTGGCGACAGATCGGCCAGGGGCGCTGGTGCACTCACCCGCGGGAGCCCTGGCAGGAGCCTGGCTCCGAGGCTGTGACAAGTGACAGGAATCAGAATATATGTTGGAGACACAACCAACAGAATTTTACCCAGAGCACGGATAAAATGGACAGTATTTAGAGTTTCTGATTTACGATCTACCAAAGGGATCCGTGTCTTAAGACACACACACATAACAAAGAACAATTGAAAACCTGACAAAAACCGAGATGATTTTTGTCTGATGGCTGCCAGGGTCAGGCGCTCAGCGCCCTGCATTTTCCGCAGACCTGACTCCCCTAGCACTACCAGAAACTTCCTCCCAGAGTTCCCCGGGTTCGGATGGGCAGAGCTGGAACACCGCAGAAGAAATAGAAAACCCGCACACCTTCCAGGCGAGCCTTCCCGTCTAAGCGGCCCCCCGGGCGGCTCCCAAATGTGCCATTACCTTGTCAGCGTGTGGCACATCGACCCCAGTTACAGGCCTTTAATGTCAATCCTGTCATCGGATAAGCTACTCGCGTGGGCTTGGTGGCAGGGAACACTGCTGCCAGGGTGTTGCCATTTGCCATGTGGGGCCGACTGAGCGACAGATCGGACATGAGTCTTCGGCAGACACACTTTAGAAGCCCCAAATTCCCGTGTTAAACCCTAAGCCTCAGCTCCCCGGACTGTGACCTTATTTGGACACCGAGTCTTTACAGAGGTGATTTGAGTTAAATGAGGCACCGGGGGGGGGGGGGGGGGGGTGGCCCTGATCCAATAGGACTGGTGTCCTTATGTAAAGGACATAAATAGGCCCCAGACTCAGAGGGAGAGAAGACGCAGGCTGAGCGGAGCGGCCTGGAGCAGATCGTTCCTCACGGCCCTCAGAAGGAGGCAGCTGCTCGCACCTTGACTTCAGATGGCACACCTTGAGAAGCAGGGGACAGTGACTTTCTGTCCTTTAAACCACCCTTTGTTACAGCAACCCCAGGAAACCGAGACAGCCTGTTAGCCGGCCGAGGGTGGACAGATGAAACATCAGGCATCCCGTCTACACCTCCCAAAGTGTGTTACGTGAACCTCTGAAATGTGTAGCTGTGCAAGGTAATCTTGAGTGGCACAGGATGAAATCATTTTATTTCCCTTACTCATGGATTTACCCTACTGTGTAAATGCTTCTAAGAATCATTATGCATTTTAAGTGCGACTAAAATATGGATTTCGGGCGCCTGGGCGGCTCAGTTGGTGGGGCGACTGCCTTCAGCTCAGGTCATGATCCTGGAGTCCCAGGATCGAGTCCTGCATCGGGCTCCCTGCTGAAGCAGGGAGTCTGCTTCTCCGTCTGACCCTCTTCCCTCTCGTGCTCTCTCTCTCTCTCATTCTCTCTGTCTCAAATAAACAAATAAAATCTTTAAAATAAATAAATAAATAAATAAAATAAAAATATGGATTTCGATGCCACTAAAAATAGAAATATCAAATGTGTGGATGCTCAGATATTACTGCTTAGTGTTATCACTCATAAAATTTAGCATGTGGTTAGAGTAGGGCTTAGAAGAAAAAGGGGCTTAATAGAAGAATTTTAAGCCACTAACAGTGCAGGTTGGTGGCTAGACAGGGCCAAAGGTGTGTGCAAAGGAGACCACTCCTGCTGGGGGCCAGGCAAAGAGCCTCGGGCTTTCAGAACGGCTGGGTGCCCTGGGCTCAGCCTGCCCCTTCCTGTGCACCCCATGCCCCCCCCACACACACATGTGCACACACATGCACACACGCAGTTGCACTGTGCTTCCCCGTGCTGCACCATGCCTAAGGAGGCTCGGTGGAGAAACTGTTTTGTAAAACAAATGCAGGTGAGCCCAGCCCTCCTGTAGGACCCCCACCGGCGTCCCCCAACTCTGGCTTTCCGTCTTAAATGAAAGCGGGCTGCAGGGCCCCACTGTGTACCGCTGCTTCCCACCCGGCACAGGTCAACAAGCTCCGTGGGTCCAGAGCCTGGTGGGGCGGTCAACTTGCAGGTCCTCAGAAACCAGGCAGCTGCCTCCTGGTGGAGCCTTGAGCCCAGGGAGGCAGCGGGAGAGGTGGGACGTCCAGAGGCATCACAGGGGAGACGCGACCAAAACCAGGGATAGGGAGGAGTGGGCAGCCGGGGAAGGTTTTATTTCTAAAGAAGGGCTCTTGGGGGCTGTGTCCAGCAGGCGTGATGACGTCACTGCAGGTGTGTAGGTGATGGTGACCTGCAGTGGAGACGTGGCAGAAAGACGTGACCGGCCTCCTTCCCCGGCACGTCTCTCCCTCCAGCTCTCCCCCTTTCTCTTCCCTCCCTCCCCACTTCTCTCCCTCCCTCCCCACCTCTCTCCCCCCTCCCCACCTCTCTCCCCCCCTCCCCACTTCCCTCCCCATCTGTCTCCCTCCCTCTCCACCTCTCCACCCCCTATCCCTCTCCCCGACTCACCCTTCCCCCAGGTCACGCGGCGGGGCCTCCCTCCTCGGCGGGCGCGCACAGGACCTCAAGGCCGCCGTCGGGGGCGCGGGCGCAGGCCTGTGCGGTCGCCGTCCGGCCCAGGCGTCCCCACCTCCCCGAAGGCGCGGCGTCGGGGGTCCCGGGCGCGCCCGCGCTCTCCTGGGTGGGCTGCCTGCGCTCTGGGAAGCAGAAGCTGCACGTCTCCACCGGCTCTGGTGGCGTGCCCGCGGCGCTTCCAGCTTCCATCCAGTGATCTGCGGGAAGGGGAGAGGGCGACGGCGTTGGCCTTGGCCCCGACCCCTCCTCAACCGCCCTGCACCGAGGGGACAGGCGGCCAGGTTGTCGGGTTCCCGCAGGCGGTAAACTGCCCTGCCTGCCCGCGCCCCCACGGGCAGCGCCCCCTCCTGGCGCCTCTCTTGTGCTACGGAGCCTGTCCAGGAGCAGGCTTTCACACCTTGGCTGACACCCCCCGCCCGCACCCCCCCCGCCCGCACCCCCCCCCGCCGCAGCCCCCAAGGGGACCGCCTCCTCCAGGTTTCAGCCCTGGAAGCCCTGCGCCCCTGCCAACCCCCTGGCCATCACCCTACACCCACCCTCGTCAGGTGCTCCACCTCTTGTCTTGATGTTGAACCTCATTTCACCAAGACATAAACAGTACTGAAGGGATGTGCGCCCCCCCCCCCCCGCCCTGCCCCTTCTCAGATAGGGCTGGCAACATGCTCTTTCCCTTTGGCAGCAGGGCCAGTGCCAGGACAGGGGGATGGCCCACAGCTTGTCCCGCAAGCCATGGGAGTATGAGGGCCCGTTTCTCGCTCACCCTTGGAAGACTTGGCCTGGGTCCGACATGGTGCTGCGGAGGGCTGGCAGGAGAATGGGTCCCCTCTCCTCTTGAGGAAGCAGGCGACGGCCAGGAGGAAGCAGCAGATTATTGCGCAGAGGCACAGCCCCAGCGTGCTGTAGACCAGGGCCAACTGGTCCGCGCTCAGCTTCAGCCCTGGGGGCGCCCCAAAACAGACGTGAGGCCCTGAGATCTGGAGGGGCCCTTCGCTGTCCAGGGCCCTCCTCTGAAGTGTCCCCTCCTCCTTCTTTTCCCTCATTGGGCCCAAGCAAGCCACGTGGCCATTCCCATGCTCCCTGGGAGGGCGGAGCCCCCAGTCCCAGCGGGCTGTCAGCCAAGAGGGTTCCCTTCCTCACCCTGAGGCTTGGCTGGTGTGGACTCTTCTCTGGACTTTGGGGGAAATCAGCCCCCTTTACCCCAGGCCGGTAGCAATGTCTCCCAAGAGCTCAGCACTGGACACCTCTGGAGCTGGCCCTTGTTGCCGTCTGCTCTTGCCATAGGATGTAGGTTGGGACAGTACCGGGAGTGGATGGATAAATGAACAGACAGAAATCCTGGGAAGCTGTCTCTGTTCTGACCTGGACCTTCCTCCAAGAGGGGTCCTTCCTGGGGAAGCATACTTGGAGAGTGACACAGGTCCAGTTGCTACTGAGTCTGGGAGAGCAAAGCAGGAGGGCCCTGGGGAACGGGGGTGCTGGTCACCCCACTTGTCAGGGCCTCGAACCTCTGGTTTGGATGTGAGAGGAAGACTCAGCCCTGAGCCAAAGCCCTCCCCTTGACCTTTTTCCTGGCCCCTAGAATCGGGGCACCCCCGAGGCCCCAGGTGGAAGGACAGAGGGGCACATGCAATATACTGATGATGTGGACCACCCACGGAGCCTTTATACATGCACGCACTTTGGGGAGCGTCTCCCATAATTCCCCTGCTCCTGTGAAGGCGGATTGACTACCCCGCCTTTAGATATTGAGGCAGAACTCATATGCTGTCACATTCCTCATTCTAAAGTGTGCAACTCAGTGGGTTTGCGTATATTCACAAGGTTGTGCAAACGTCACTGCCATCTGATTGGAAGACATTTCCCTCACCCGTGTACTCACTAGCAGTCACTCCGCATGTCCCTTGCCCCAGCCCCTGGCACCACTCCACGGATCCCCCGCTCTGTCTCTGTGGGTCTGCCTATTGCGGACCTTCCCTATGAATGCAATCATACAGTATGTGGCGCTTTGTGTCTGGCTTCTTTCGCTGAGCGTGATTTCAAGGCTGATCCACACTGTCCTGCGGGTCAGGACTTTGCTCGTTTCTGTGGCCGGCTAATGTTCCATTGTAGGGTCATACCCCATGCTCCTCTGTTCATCTGCCCATGGACATTTGGGCTGTTGCCACGCTTTGCTGTTGTGCATAAGGCTGCCGTGACCATTTGCGGACAAGGTTTCGTGTGGACGCATGTTTTTGGTTTTCTGCTGAAGCCTAGGAGTGGAATCTCTGGGTCAGATGGTAATGGTCTGTGTCACTTTTTGAGAAACCTCCAGACTGTTTTCCACGGGGGCTGCACCATTGGACACTCCATTTTGCAGGTGACAAAACAGATTCCAAGTCACCCTGCTCCCAGTCGCAACTGTTGCGGGGAGCAGGTGTGATGGACTCCGGGCCAGTGCTCAGGGCTGGCCTCACAGAGGCAATGAGGGGGACGCCGCCCCCGACACTTTCCTCGGAGTCATGAGTTTTATAAAGTGACCGAGCTGGCAGGTGCCACCCTGACGTTTACAGAGGGAGACCGGGTGCTCTGGGCGGTGCTGTCCTTCATGGCCCTGGCCCGGAGCTCAGGGAGGCCCAGAGAAGAGGGAAGCAAAGAACCCTCAGTGGGCACCATACGCTGGTGCTACAGATCTGAAGACTGAGGCCCTCAGAGGGAAGAGCAGCAGGGCATAGGGCCGAGCTGGGCAACTCTTCCCATTTCCCAATTGCCAGGCCTTTCCATCTGCCTACCTACTCCTCCCTGCCTCTGGAATAAAATGACAAGGTACGGCTGGATCCACAGGGGAGGGGCCGGCGGCCTTCACTCACATCAGGGACGGAATGCCCGGCCGCCAGATTGCTAAGTACAAATGAACTGCCGTGTAGATTCAAGGAGAGAGTCTAACCATCTACATATTTCAGATGTTCTCGGCGCGAATTCTACCGGCTAGACCTGGCAGCGACTGTTCACGGCTGGTCCCCAAAGAGCCGCCTCCACGCAGCCTGCCCCTCACGTTAGGGCTGGGCCGGGCCTCCCCGACACCAGTAGGAGGCAGCAGAAGGCCTGGGAGCCCTTGCTTCTGCTCTGCGGGGCGCCCCGGGGCCACGGCGTGAGAAGGCAAGCTGAGAGGCCACGTGGAGAGGGGTGGGCCCTGAGACTGAGGGAGGAGCGAGGCCCAGCCATCCCGGAATCAGAGCCAAACCTCCAAGTGACCCCATCCCCCCACACCATCTGCCTGATGCTGTGCAGAGACCCCAAGCAGACACCAGACCTGCAAGCGGAGCCCAGCAACCCAGAGAACCAAGCAAGATAACAAAGGGGTTATTTGTAGGCCACTAAGTTTTCGGTGGCTTTTGGAAGCTACAGTAAACCACCAGACTGCACTCCTGAGGGGGTGAGGGGCTTGTCCCAGCTGCTCTTTGCCCCTCTGCCCGGACCAGTGACCTGACGTTTCCTGTGGGCAATGGAAGTAGCTCGTGCTGGTGACCTGCCCCTGGTACCTACTTTACAGAGCCCCTGAACCAGGAAGGGGAGTGCAGATTAAAGTACAGGGTCCTCTCCCACCTGTCTCACGAGAGTACCTCGTTTGGGCCGGGGTGTGGGGAGAATAGTTTCAGGGCCATTTGGAACCAGCTACCAAGATGAAAACCACACTTTCCTGATGTCCGTGGATTCGCTGACTTCCCGTCCAGGCCATGTCCCACCCACACAGACACAGGCGCTCGCTGGAGCCTTGTTCAGAGCAGCAGAAGCCGGGTCGGCCCACGACGGACCAAACCCCAGGAGGTAGGCAGCGAAAGCGGGGGGTGCGCACTCTGGATGACAGCCGTGGTGTGAACCACATAAGGAGCTGTAGATGTGCCTTAGATAAGGAAAGGTGGGAAAGTAGGTTCTACACCCGGCGCGGAGCCCAACACGGGGCTCGACCTCACGACCCTGAGATCAACACCTGAGCTGTGACCAAGTGTCGGACGCTCAACCGACTGAACCACCCAGGCGCCCCTCTTCTTTTTGTTTTTTAAATGATTTGTCTGTGTCATCTATTCAAAACAGGAAAACAGCTTGAACCTGCTCTGCTCACGACGACGCACACGTCCAAAGAGGCTCGTAAAAGGCCCACCAGAAGGACCGGGGCGGGGGCGGGGACGGGGGCGGAGGGGTCATTGAGCCCCAGCAGCTGGCGCGCCCACTAACGGGACAGCCGTCCCCCGCGGCTTTCTGCACCACCCGAATGGGCCCTGCACGAGTCTGGCAGCAGTGAGCGCCAAGACTCTCCTGGGGGTGGAGGGCATCTGCCCTTCTCAGCTCTCCTTTGGTGGATCGCGAAGGTCTCTTGGGTCACAACCTCAGAAGTCGCCTTCTGTGGGCCCTCGGTGACCCAGCCCCCGCAGATCGGAGAGGCCTTGCCCCGTACTTCTCTGTCTGCTGACCCCGGGAGCAAAGGGGCACAGTCACAAAGTCTTGTGAGAAAAAGGGATGCGTTCTCTGTGCTTGTCTGAAGATGAAGTCCTGGGAAGAACCCCGTGCAGGTGCAGTTCCCAAGAACCACCACCAGAGGGCACCGCACAAGGCTTCCGGCGGCTTGGGAGCGAGACTGGCCCCGGCTACGGGGGACGGTTTGTTTCCAGGCTGGTTTTTGTTTTTGTTTTGTTTTACTGTCTTCAAAGCCATCTCACATCTAAAAATAGAACTTCCCCAGACTGCTGCGGTCCCCGGATCAGGCCCAGGCTGGCCAGGTGCTCAGGGTTATGACTCGTCACTTAGGGGCAGAGAAAGGGGCCTTTGCGGGCCAGGAATCCAGATGGCACCGCTCAGCTGGGGGCCCTGCAGCCACACTGCTTGGGTTGAAGGAGGCTTTGGACATTGTACTCAGCTTCCTCAGCCCTCAGTCTCCTCATCTGTAAAATGGGGAATGAGATGCCTGTCAGCATTGTTTGGCATCTGCGAGGTAGTGCATGTAAATGGATGCGAGGCAGGTAGGCCCGGGGGTGGGGGTGGGGGGACACTGATGCCGCAGGTCCCCAAGTGTCCCCACGCCTCCCCAGCTCAGCCTGCGGGGAGTCTGTCCGTAGGAAGGAGGGAGGCTGGGGTGGCCGTTGTAGGACGCCACACTCTGGAGGATTTCTGTTCCTCCTCTTTCTCGGAAGACTCTGGTGCACGGCTGGTGGGCCCCGTCCACGGGGACCACCTGGCCAGCCTCCGGGACTCTGCGTTTTCCCTCCTTCCCTGCACGTGTGGTGACCCTGGGCCGAATGTTCACCTTGAGCAGGGGTTTCCTGCAGTGAGTGTGAGCCTCGCTCTCGGCTCCCTGGGGGGCCTGCACATGTCCGTATCTGTGGGCCTTTCCCGCCCCCACGGGGTCCGTGTGTGCTTGTGTGTGTGACACGTGGCTGCCGTTTTGGGAGACGAGTTTGGGAAAGGATGGGGGTGCAGCTGGCCTTCTCACGCAGTGGCCCCGGGGCGCCCCGCAGAGCAGAAGCAAGGGCTCCCAGGCCTTCTGCTGCCTCCTACTGGTGTCGGGGAGGCCCGGCCCAGCCCTAATGTGAGGCGCAGGCTGCGTGGAGGCGGCTCTTTGGGGACCAGCCGTGAACAGTCGCCGCCAGGTCTAGCCGGTAGAATTCGCTCCCCCTGCTCCACCCCCATCAGGGCCTGGGATCCCAGTGTCCCCGTTCTGTCTGGTGCCACCACTTCTGAGAGCAAACCTCCATCCTGCTGGTGGGAGGGCAGGACGGCAGGGGGGATGACTCCTTCACAGCCTCACCCCTGCTCCCGTTCGGCCCCTCTCCCTGGCCCCGGATCAGACCCCCTGGCCTTTCCCTTTGCTCAAGTGGCTCTGGTTAATGACGGAAGCCCCCTTGACCCCGGGGCCCCCTCCAGCCCCGGCCCGTCCCTCCCCTCCCTTGTCAGCCTGGTTTTGAAGACCAACGCCAGGGCCGCCCTGTCTCGGTTCAGTTCCCGCACACAAGGAAGCCTTGAGCAACTCCCAAGACAGACGTGGTGTCCGCCCCCAGCCCCGAAATGCTGACGGCCGGCTTCCATGGACGTGACCCCAGTGAGAACAAGGCCGTTTCCCACCCTGCACACATGACCTGCCGATTGATTAATCTCGGCCACTGGGTTTCTCTTCCTTAAAGGCCTGTCATGCTTCCCATTTGCCAAGCCGGTGCTTTTTTCCCTGGGTGCGTGTACCCCACGGCTCGGAGCTCCCCCACCACGTAGGACGCTGCTGCCAGCCGGCCCCTCCATGCCCTCACCTGCTAGGCCTTCAGCCCCCCTGCCTGTGATCTTCATGGTGGGACTCTGCGCCCCCGGCCCCAACACCCTACACTGTTCAGTGAACACGGGGGGCCCTGGAGGGCAGTCTGTGCTTCCGGGCCCCCCACTCTGCCTCTGTGCCTCCCCATCTGGTGCAATTAGGTTAAACCGGACTAGGGGCTGCTAAAGGCCTGATAAAGGATGAGGCTGAGCGGGAGACGGAGAGCAAGAGGCCTGGCTTCTTGGCCTCAGGAAGAGTGAGAGAGGGGCTCCCTGCCTTGCCCCCCGGCATTTCCTCGGGTCAGGGATGCCTCCACCTACCGACACCTGAAAACTGCCCTTCAGAGGGTCCTCGGGCCTCTTTGCATCTGCAACCTTCTCTGCGCTGTGACCTACTCCTTCCAGAATGTTCCTCCTTGTTTGCCTTTGTGGACACACAGTCCTCTGGGTTCTGCTCTGATCTCGCCGACGGCTCCTTTCCAGTGTTTCTGGGGGACCCTCTATGACCCCTCAGAGGCAGAGTCCCCTGCTCCCTACCCCGTAGAACTTCCCCCTCCATCCTTTTCTGCACACACGTCCTGGGTCCCTGGGGCATCTTTTTCATTCTTGGAAACACAACTGCCACCCCGTAGGCCCACGAAATCCAGGTTCCCCAGTGAGATGCTCCCCAGAGCTCTGGACACCTGGATATCATCCTTCCGGCCTCCAGAGTGGTGAGCGAGGACATTTGTGTGGTTTTAGGCTCCCCAGTGTGTGGCATGGTGTTACAGCAGCTGCAGGAAGCTAACACGGCCAACCCAGGACACGACCAAGGCTCAGAGAGGTTAAGTAACTTGCTCAAGGTCGCACAGTTAGTGAGGGATGGAACCAGGGTCCGGCTCCACAGCCTGCACCATTACTCCAGTCTGCCTCAAAGGCCCCTCCTCCGAGAAGACTGCCTTGCCCCCCATCACACCCCTGGCTGCATTACGTTGCCACCATGCCCGGAGACTGATTTGTCATTTGCTTGAGTCTTGTGCATTGTCTGTCTCTCCCATTAGACTGTGACTTCTGTGGGGTCAGGGACAGGATTTGCCTGGTCTTGCCACCTCGCCCACGCACAGCAAGCCCTCACGGTTACGTGTCAGTGAAGGAATGACAGTCTGGAAGGACTGCAAGAAGAGCTGGAGTAGGGTTGAGGTGGGGGTCTGGCAGGGATGCGGACTTCGTAGGGGGATGGCAGGATCTGGGGAGCCACAAGGGGAACGGGATCCCATCAGCTCCACCACTGGCCGCAGCTGGAGACAGCCTGGTCCCATGGCGTCCTCCAGTCCATGCTCTCAAACAGGTCCACCCCTGGCCCTCCCGGCGTGTAGCCCTGGTACTTCCTGCTTATAATCCACACCAAGCACAGCTCCTGCCCCATCAGCACACCCAGGTGTCAGACGAGAGAGCAGAATGGACCGAAACCCCAGACCTCTGGGGAGTCTCAGGCCACAGCAAGATAGTCATTAAGCCACTGAATTCCTGGGAGAGTGTGTGGTGTCCCCGGCTAGTGGCACAGCTGATGCTACAGGGTCAGGCATGACCTGCACATGGACCCCACTGACTCCCCAGCATGTCCCTACACACTTGCATCCACACATTCTGAGGGATATGTTCCTGGAGCCAACATGAGGCTCCCAGATTCCACCCAGTGCCCTCCAGGGGTGAGGCTTGGCTGGGAGTCATAAGCAAGAATAGCTAATCTTGTCCCACGGGCAGCAGGTTACCCTCAGGAAGTGACAACAATCCCATGAATGCCACTCTGGGAGTTTTGCTCTTGCAGAATGGATAAACTTTGGGACCCAGAGACTTGGCCTGAATCCCAGCTCAGCATTGCTCATGCACTCATTGCACAAGTCTCAGAAACTCACTCTAAATTTTGAGACTCAGTTTCTAGATCCATAAAATGGGTAGTATTGATCTGAAGGGGACCCTATTGCATCAAAGGTGAGAAAGTTCTGGGTTTGGCTAGAAGAACGCAAATACATCGCCAACTACAGGTTGGACATACGGGTCACTAGACGCTGGAGGAGCAGGTGTGCCCCGCCCATCCCCACGTCATGGTTCTGTGCCTCCCTCCCTCTGTATCCATGCCCCTCTGCATGTGAATCAGTATTTCTCATGAGAGAGAGACTGTGCTAGATTACAATCGGCCACAGACTCACCAACACTACGAATTCTTTGTCTCTCCTCCCGCACCTGTTTCCCCAGCCTTGAATCTGACTGGCTTTGCAACTTGAGGAATAGCATGCACCAGTGCAGATGTAGTGCATGTCCCCAGCCTGGCAACACGAGGCCTTGTGTACTTCTACCTCTTACACTCCTGCCATCATCATGAGAAGGACATGCCTGGTCCCGGGAAGAGGAGGAGAGACACATGGAGTGGAGCCACCTCTAGCTGAGCCAGCAGAACACAGCTAACCCCAGGCAAAACCCAAAGATGTAAGAATAATAAGCCACTGAGTTTTGGGACTATTTGTTACACAGCAACAGCTCACTGACAAGAGGACAGAAGAGAGTAAAAGACAACAGTCTAACCAAGTAGAACTTGGGGCTGGGCAACCTCCATTATCAGGGCACACAATGCCTGCCCTTTGGCTTCTTGGCACTAGGATCTGGCGCCATGGAAATGATGTCATTGTGAGGAAAGTCACAACAGAGGACAAAAACCAGTCAGTCCTCCAGGAGCTTCAGGCCTATTGTCTCTCCACTGACAGACCAAGAGCAGTGTAACTATCTCAAGTGTTTACGGGTCCGCATGGCATTTCTCCTCCACTCCATCCTTTCTGACACTGCAGAGCAGGGTAGGTAAGCCACGAGGTGTTTTCTGGGAGGATAATTAGACACTTTCAATGGTTGGCACTTAGTAGATGACCAGTTCCAGGGAGCCTTCTCACCATGTCCCAGGTGGCCAACCCCCACCATCAGTTGTTTTGTAATACTTTTTTCCTTCTCATTCTTTGGAAGTCCCCATTGTCTCTAAATGGAATCAGAGATCTTGCTCACATGGTTAGCTCTGCTGGTTACCTGCTGCTCTGTGTTTTAAGAACTCATTTAGCCTCCATTATAAGGCTCTCAATGATCAGATTTTCTTTTTCTTCTTTTCCTCCTGAGTCCTTCTCACCCACAGACTTCTAAATATTTTGCCTAAAATTTCGTTCTATCTTGTGAAAACCCTCCCCTGTCTTCTGGCCATTTGCCCGGACTCTGGACTTCCTGCTTTGTAGACCCTCCTTATCTAGTCCTGGCACCTGGCCCTCTGCCCACTGTGGCCCTCAGACACCATCAGGCCAACCTCAGAGGACTTACCTGGACCTGTCTCCGAGCCTCTGTGCTCTGTTCCCTGGTACCTTCCCAAGTCGTCTGACCTGGTTTCAGCGTCCCCAGCCCGCTGTCTCTTGAGCTCTGGTGGGAGGTTCACATGGCTCCTGAACTTGTTCTCACAGAAGTATGTGCATTGCTTGGGGTGACGTCCACAGATGGAGGCACAGCTGATGCAATCCCTCAGGAGCTGATCATAGTACCTGCCTTGCTCTTTGCGGCAACTGAGTGCCTCTGGGAGACAGAAATGAGTGATGTTACTGGGTGACAGAGACCTGCAGGCCCTGTGAAGCTGGTCATCAAGGGCATCACAGTTTAAAAAAATCACAATTCAATTCCCCAAAAGCAATTGCAGAGTAATGCAAGTCCTTTCCCAATAGGTAAATGGAAGGCTATACATTGTCCTCTAAGTACTGTTTTAACTGCAATATATACTTTGATATGTAGTATTTTTCCTATATCTACTTTACAATGTTTTTCACTTTTCATTATTCTTCTTTGACCTATAGATTATTTGAAAGTGCATTTCTTAGTTTCTAAACATATAAGAGTTTTCTAGTTATCTTTTAAAATCGAAATCTAGGTTGTTACATCATCACATAAGTTCTTCACTTGTATTTTTCAAACTTCATAAAGGAAAAACATATTTCATATTAACATAAGGATTGGAGGAGGAAGCCAGCAACCATGTTGGCAGGTTGAGGGAGGGCGTTGGAAGGAAGATGGGAAAGCTCAAACTAATAGTGTTTCTTCTGTCTTAATGAGAATTATAAGAGCTTAAACAGGCATCGGTTCCAAGGAACAGAAATCAAGTAAACTAAAGCCCAATCACACTTGCTTTAAGAGAGCAATTTTGAGTGCATAACAGAAATCTATACTTTCACAGGGCTTCCCTTGTCTTTAAAACAAGATTCTATTTATATGAGAATGTGACTCGCACAGGGTTATTTTAAGGGCACATCTCAGAGGCTGTGCAAGATAGAGGGTAAGAACACAGACTTAAAGGCCAAAGAGATTTGAGAGCATCCCTAGTCTACCACTTGCAGGTTGTGGGGTCTTAGCCTCTCCATGCCTCTGTTCCCACATTTCCAAGACAAAGGTAACAATAATGTTGACTTCTTAAATTTGCTATGAGGATTTGAAGTTCCTGGCACAGTGTCTGACACATACTAAATAAATGCTGGATTAATAGAAGGTTTAAGTAGAATATTCATTTGTGCCTCTTTGCAACACACACACACACACACACACACACACACACACACACACACACCCCAACTCTTACGTCCTTGAAAGAGTAAAGGAAAAGACCAGGAAGATGGTGGAACTGGGAACTCGGAGAAGACTCAGATGGGATCAGTGACCTCTTCTTGCCCTGGCACTGCCCTGGAGTTCCACTAAGCCACATAAGACCCCTGCCACTGCCACTCATAAGAAGGAGTTGATGGGATGACAATGGTGTTCCTACCATTTTATGTGTGACCTCCTCCCCTCCTCAGGCCCCCAATGTGGCTGCTGCAGGTGGTGTCTGAGCTTCCCAGACCACCAACCCTCCCTGCCCAACCTCATAAACTTCCCTTCTGGACCTTGATATTTCCTGTTGTGTTTTTTTCACCTCCATGACTTTGCCCACACTGGTCCTTCTTCCAGGAGTGCCCTCCCCTGCCCCCCGCCGCCACATCTACAAACTCTTAACAATTTATCTCAGGTGGCATTTACTCCAGGAATACCTCCCTACTCCCCAACCCATCAGCCAGAGGTGGTCTCTCCCAACAGTAGCATTTTATGGTACTTTATCTTTCTGCCTTGAAAGGTAGTTATTTCTCCCATTAGATGATAACCCCCTTGAAGGATCATGTCAATTTCCTATTTTCAAGGAGCTAGAGAGTTCCATGAATATTTGTGGAGTGATACAATGAATATTCTACTTCATTAATGGATAGTGGAGATACTCTCAGTCAGTTAAGTGTCTGCCTTCGGCTCAGGTCATGATCCTGGGGTCCTGGGATCGAGCCCCACCTGCATCATGCTCTCTGCTCAGCAGGGGGTCTGCTTCTCCCTCTCCGACTCCCTCTGTGCGCTCTTGCCCTCTCTCAAAGAAATACAATCTTTAAAATAAAATAAAATAAAATAAAATAAAATAAAATAAAATAAACAAGCAAAAAAATGCCTGGGGAATAAGAAGGCACAATTTTTAATGCTAATGATGGGTAGATAGGAATTTATTGTTTTATCCTCTCTGTGATAATTCCTATAATAAAAAGTTTCAAAAGAAAATTAGAACAGAGAAGGACAAAGAAGGTCCTCATTTCTATTGGGTAGTCAGATAGGACCTCTTGACATTTGGCTTCAGACCTGAAGGTTGAGTAGGAGGGAGCTGAGGGAACTGTAACAGGGATCTGCATTCCAACCATAAGGTAGAACATGTGCAAACACCCTGAGGCAGGAAAAAACAGCATGTTCAAGAAACTGCAAGGAGGCCAGCATGGCCAGAACAGAAAGACTGAAGGGTGAAAGTGTGCCACATTGTACATCTCCTTTAACCACCTCCTTCTCAACCACTCAAGTGCAATGGGGACTGAGGGACCTCTGAGGAGAAAGAAGGGGTGATCCAGCCCACGGGGCTCAGGGCCCAGAACTCACTGCAGAATGCTGCGCAGGTGCGTGGAATCTGATGGCTGCAGATGGGTTTGCAGGAGAGGCAGACGTTCAGCAGGGGATCCCAGTACTGTTCTTCAGGGCAGGGCTCCATGGCCATCCCCTTCACAGGCCCTGTGGAGCTGAGAGGCAAGGAGCACGAGGGTAGCTGGTGCCCTGCTGTAGGTCAGAAGCCAGACCGTCACTCCCACTCACATTCCTACCCTCTGTCTCAGCAAACAGAGGGGAACCAGACAAAGCTGACTTCCAACCCCAGCTGCACATGCTGGGTGACCTGCAACAGCCATCTCACTTCCTTGAGCCTCAGTTTCTCCATTTGTGAAATGGCTGTTCTGAGGCCCCCCCCCTCACATCTGGGCCCTTCTCAGTCCTGTTCTTTGCCCCCTTTAATGTGCTTCATTCTACCACAGTACCTTTGCACAAAATGCTGTTCCTTTTGCATTAAATGCTCTTCTTCCCTGCTCCTCCACTGGTATTTTCTCCTGATCCTTTAGACCACTGTTTCAATTTCATTTCCTCAGAAAATCCTGATTCTCTTCTCAGATTACAACATGCCCTTTTTTCTGAGCAGTGGTGTGCCCTTCACTTGTTACTGTTTTCACTTCACTTTTAGAAGTGTGACTATTAGATACTGTCTCCCCCATTAACTGTGAGCATCCTGCAGGCAAGAACTCTAACTTTTTTCTTCACTCTGGATCCTCAGAACCTAGAAAGTGCCCAGGACAGAGTTGGTGCTCATTAAGTGAATAATTAAAAAAAAAAAAAAAAGGCAGATCTAGCCAGTGCCTAGCATACAGCAGCATTCAATAAATGTCTATTTCCTTCCCGTTTTCTTTTTTACTGAGATATGAGACCCACACGATGTGTGTAAAGTGCACAAATCTGAAGTGTACAGCTTGATGAATTTTTCCATATGTATACACTTGTGTCACTACAACCCACATCAAGGTACAAGGTATAAATATTTCTTGCACCCTGGAGACTCCCTTGGATCTCCTCCCATCTGATACTTACTTCCAGAGGTAATTTCTACTCTGATTTTTATCACTGTAGCTTGTTAATATTGCCCATTCTTGAACTTTCGTGTTTGGTTTTGTCGGCTCCATGAGATATCTGAGACACATCTCTGTCGAAGCTCTATCAGTCATTTGTTTTGTATCGCTGAGTCTTCCATTATATGAATGCATCACCTTTTCTACAGTTTTCTGCCTGATTTCATGATATTAGCTTCACCAAAAACATCTTTTAAACATTTTTCAAGGCCATTTGTTTACTCTTTGATGAAAGTAAACTGAGAAAAGACCAGTGGCTTCTGGTTTAATGCGGCAGCTTAAACACATGGGCTTATCTTCCTTCCCTCTTGAAACCCTACTAAAAGGACAAGAAAAAGATATTTGTCCTCAAAGAGAAAGAGAATGGAAAAAAGTTACTGCCGCAGGGGACAGATGTGAGCAACATTTTGGGATATGGAAGGCATGTGAACTGGGACTGATTTCAGTTAAAGATCTCTCTCTCTTTCGATGCCCACAGGGAGAAGGAAGCTGATTTGAGCCACAGAACCCTAGGAAGTCTCCGGAATTGGACGCACCAAGTATCTCTGACAGTGGGGGATGGGAAGGCAAAACGATGAAAGAGGGCTTGACCCCGGCCAAAGCCCATCCCCAGGCAGGTAACGGCCTCTTGACAACCCAAGCAAAAGATTAGGGGCCTTCTCAGGCATAGTTGAGGGTAGCTATAAAGTCCACTCTCTCCAAAACACAACCTAGGGAGTGCTGTGGCCAGGTTTTAAAAAATGTGTCCTTCCCCATCCTGCAGCTGGCAGGAAATCAGCAGAATCTGGGAAAACTGATCCAAAGGAAATGACCTAAGGACACTGACTGGGAGATTCTCTCAAGAAAATGACCAAGTTTGCTGACCATCTGAGAGCCAAGCTTCTACATTAACAACCCTATTTGTTTACTCAGAACTTCCAATCAGCTGTTTCTGCCTCAGTCTAAGTTGTGAACCAAGAACCACGGGTCACCTGATATTGGAGCACCCCCCCCCACATGAAAGAGAATTCAAACAAAGCAAGCAGAAAGAACATGCTGGGAGCCAAGAGAGACAATGCAGAGAAGAGAAGAAAACTAAAAGGTGACACCAACAACAATTGATATCCTCAGAAGGATTGGAGAATTTTTACATTTATGAAAAGGAATGGTGCCCTGTCTTTTAAAAAGAATATGCATATAATACATAAGAATTATTAGAAATTAAACATATAATAGCCAGAATAAAAACATTGGTAGGAGGGTTGCAAGATGTAGTTGAAGAAATGTCCCAGAAAATAAGGAGAAAAAAGATATGAAAATTATGGAATTATTTTGGGAGGTCCAAAGGTTGACTAATGGGAGCTCCAGAGAAAACAGATTTCTAGGATATATAGCTTCCAGATTCAAAGAGCCAGTCCGGCATCTGGCACAATAAATTCTCAGCAGCCATGACCCACCATCATAAAGTTTAGGAGGACCAGAGATTAAGAGCAGATTCTAAAACCTTCTTGAGAACAAGCAGGTCACCCACAGAGTTCTTTTGGGAAGCCAGTGGACATCTCAAATCAAAACTGGGATGTGAGAACAATGTCTGGGAAGATGGTAGAGTAGAAACTCCAGGAATCTGCCTTTTCACCTAACAGTTGTTGATGGCAGCAACCATCTGAAGGCACTGTTTTGAAACCCCAGACTTACCCAGGAAAAAGCTAGATGAAGAGACTGGTAAGTTTTTGGAATTTTGGTGCATTTCGACCCATTTCATGCTGGTGGCTACCATTCCTGTCTCCAGCCCCACCTATGCAGCAGTGGGAGCAGCTGCTCATATTGCTGGTGTAACTTGCTGGAACCTAGATGGGCAGTAAGGACCTTGTCTTCCAAATATTGGGATTGTAGGCTCTGACTGCTGTTTGCTGTTTTTGATCAGTGAGAGGCTAGCACACAATTTGGTGGCTATTGTTTCAACCCCCATCAGCTGAAGTGGTTTCCATGAGGATTTATTTATTTTTTTAAAGATTATTTCTTTATTTATTTGAGAGAGAGAGAGAGAAAGAGGGAGAGCATGAGCAGGTGTGGGGGAGCAGAGGGAGAGGGAGAAGCAGACTCCCCACTGAACAGGGAGCCTGATGTAGGGCTCGATCCCAAGACCCTGAGATCATGACCTGAGCCCAAGGCAGACACTTAACTGACTGAGCCACCCAGGCGCCCCAAGCATTTCAGGAAGATTTAAAGAGACAGTACTCTCCACCACTCTTGGGAACCAGACTTTTAAGGAAATCTTTGTCAGGTCACTGGCTGATTGCAGAGATAAAGGAACAGAAACTTCAGTGACACGCAATAAATACAAACTTTCGAAAATAGTTTGAAAAAGCCACACATGGACTCCAGCCATCAACAAGCAAGATACAGCAGTCCCTGAGGAATGAGAGAACTAGAATTACCACAACATAATACTCAAAATGTCCAGTTCTCAAAAAAACTTACAAAACATACAAAGAAATAGGAAAATATGGCACATTCACAGAAAAAAAAGAATTTGACAGAAATTATCCATGAAGAAGTCTAGACATTGGAAATATTAGTCGAAGATGCTAAATCAACTGTCTTAAATATGTTAAATGAATGTTAAAGAAAACCATGGACAAAGACCTGAGGGAAGTCAAACAATGCATGAATGATGTATGAGAATATGAATAAAGAGATAGAAGTGGTTAAAGAAGGAACCAAAACTTGGAAGCAAACAAGGTTTCCTTCAGTATGTACATGGATAAATAAACTATGGTACATCTAAACAATGGAATTTATTCAACACTAAAAAGAAATGAGTTATTAGCCATGAAAACACATGGAGGAATCTTAAATGCATATTAGTAACTGAAAGAAGCCAAACTGAAAAGTCTACTGTGTGAATCCAGCTATATGACATTCTAGAAAAGACAGGACTATAGAAACAGTAGAAAGATGCGTGGTTGTCAGGGGCCTGGGGAGGGAGAGATAAAGGTGGGACGCAGAGGATTTTATAGGGCACTGAAACTATTCTGTTTGATACTATCATGGTGGATACGTGTCCTTATACATATTTGTGAAATCCCATAGAATGTATAACACCGAAAGTAAATATTAGTGTAAGCTTATGGACTTTGGGTGATAATGATGTATTAATGTAGATTCATCAATTGTAACAAATGTACCACTTTTTTGCAGGATGCTGGTAGTATAGGAGGCTGTGCATGTTTGGGAGTATGAGGCATATGGGAACTCTCTGTACTTTCTACTCAATTTTTCTGTGAACACAAAACTGCTCTAAAAAAATCTATTAAACAATAGAAACGAACAGAAATTATGGGATTGAAAAGTCCAATAACTGAAATGAAAAAAAAAAAAAACTCACTAAAGGGGTTCATCAACAGATTTGGAGAAGGCAGAAGAAAGGATCAGTGAACCTGAAGATAAAACAATTAAATTATTTAGTCTGAGAAGCAGAAATTTTTAAAAATGAGGGCAAGTGAACAGAATCTGAGGGACTTGGGGGCCTCATCAAACATGCCATCATAAATTTATAGGAGTTCTAGAAGGAGAGAGGGAGAAAGGGACATAAACCATATTTGAAGAAATAATGGCTAAAAATTTCTCAAATCTTAGGAGAGACATGAATACAGACGTTCAAAAATCTCAATGAACTCTCAATAAGATAAATCCAAAGAGCCCACACTGAGACACATTGTGGAAATGTGGAAACCCAAAGACAAAGAGAAAATTGTAAAACCTGCAACAGAGGAACAACTTGTCACATACAGGTGATCTTCAATAAAATTAACAGCTAATTTTTCTTCAGAAACCATGGAGGCCAGGAGTCAGTAGGATGATACATGTAAAGTCCTAAAAGGAAAAATTTGCCAACCAAGAATTATATAGCCAGCAAAGCTATCCTTCAAGAATGAAGGGGAAATTAAGACATTTCCAGATAAACAGAAGCCAAGGGAATTCATTCCCAGTTCATTAGACCTGCCCTACAAGGTATGCTAAAGGGAGTCCTTTTGCTGAAATGAAAGTACCCTAGACATAAACACAGTCATAATAACAGATAAGGGACA